GGGACGTATGTTGTCGGGGCAGCCTCTGCGAAAAACGCTTCCGGGCCCACCAGCGCCTCTTTGGGGAACAGGAGGGTCGGGGTGTTTTCGCGAGGAAGGTCATGCCAGGATAAGGGCACAGCCATGACGGTATAGTTTGTAAGAACGCCATTTTTGACTATCGTACTTTTGTCTTTGGTGTTGACCGGAAGCAACGCGTAAGTTTGGAAAAAACAGAAGCACTCGGAGAGACCACATCCTTCTTTTTGTTGTGAATGTACTCCTGGAGAATGAAGTATTTTTGGGGGGGGGGAAAAAAACATGTTTCGCAGGGATCGAACTCACGACCTCCTCTTTACTGTACATATGTAGTCTAGGCCTTCCCGAGAAATGTCGAAATTTCGCCCTGAAGTACCTGAGGGAGTACCATACGTTTTTGTACTTTGGCCCAAGACTTCAACTTTTTTTTGTCACAATCGTCGTCCTCGTGAGGGTGTCGACGTACCATGTTTTGGTGCTGCACTTGGGTGCTGATCGTTGCGCAGATGCCTCGCCGTGAGCGCCACATTAATATCTATTGCCACGGGATGGTGCCCAACATAAGTGTGCTGAGGGCACCCATGTGTCGGTGTTCGTGTGGTGTGGTGTATTCCGTATGTGTATGATTCGTAAGCCTTGTGTGGGATTGTTCCTGACCTCGACGCGAAGGCTCGCGTCGCTGGGGTGATTGGTACCCTGCTGCGGGCGAGCTTGCACCCATCCGTTTTGATCGAGGTTGCCAGCCCGACACGGCAGGGTTAAACTTGATATCCTAATCCGATAGAAAACTGGCGGTTGGTAACCCATCATGAACACGTTATGCAGCGTATACCCAACCTGGGCAGGTTATGCGCGGGCACAACCTCCCACAACGTGCCCCACCAGCCACCTGTGAAGGCTTCAGTTGGGGACGGGGCTACCCCCGGGCTGTTATTGGGTATTCTGAATAGTTTTGTTCTTTCAGCGCTTGCCGCCACCGGCCAGCTCGAAGCAGAGCGCGGTGGTCAAGACTTGCCTAAAATAACAACGCATCACAGGCTGTACTGCGTGTAGGTCTTCCTGGGGGATAATACGGATTAACTAGGTTCCGATATCGAAGCACGTGGAATAGTCATCGTTCTGCGTGGAGTCGCGCATGTTGAGCAGATGAAAAAAAAATGTGCAGCGGCTGAAATCAACCCATTTATTAGGGTCTATCGCTTGTCTAATTTTACTGCAAATGGTTCTTGCACGGGGGGGCAGAGGGTAGGTTGTGGGTAGGTTGTGGGCATCCACAAGGTAGGGGCAGGTTGTAGAGGGGGCTTGGGAGGAGGCCTCAAACTTGGCCAGATGTCTTGGTTGTACAAGCGCGAATGCGCAAGGTTGGGAGGCAGCCACAACGTTAGGCCACACCTCGTGGTTGTGCAAGCACCGATCACACAGGTTAGGGGGACAGCCACAACCTTAGGCCAGACCCCCTGGTTGTGAAAGCACCGATGATACAGGTCGGGAGGCAGTCACAACCGAAGGCCAGACCTCCTGGCAGTAGATTGTGTCGGTTTGACGGTCCGGGATAACTGGACCTCAGTGTACACTACGTTAATTTCTTTCTTTTTCCGGCTGGACAAAACATAACAAACTCGTCTCCAACACAGATATGTAGATATAAGAGCCCAGGATACGCTTCTGCACAATGCAAACGAAATGAACGCATACACTATTCAGTTTAGGCTTTTGCGTGAGTGTGTGCGGGGATTCACGAGTCATGTATATACCAGCTGCAGAGGGTACAACAAGCTCTCAGCTCTCAGATCCCGTTATGGATCCCGCCAGACAGACGGGAAGAGGTGGTGCGGGGCATCGGAAACAGCGAGCCCCCTATTAATGGCTTTATTTGGCCCTGCGTCGCCCTCGCACGTGATGAGCTAACTAGCCTTGATACAGGCCACCAGAGGCCGCAGCATGCCAAGACGAATAGCGATCAGGCTGGTGTCATTCCTTTCGTAACCAAGGCACACAGCAATACTATATCTAGATCCTCGGGCTCGGGGCACAGCACCCACCGCGAGCTAAACCCGCCGCACGACATTGCTGCTGGAGGGGCAAGACGAGCTTCTACACGGAGCTAGAAGCTCGTGGAGAAGAGAGGGCGACATTCCTGCAGCAGTTGCTGATTAGGTAAGCGATTCCTCTGCAGTTACATCTGGATGGTAGCAAAATAAGGATGAATTGAGGGAACATAGTGTGTTCTGCCGTTGTGTATCCCTATGCATTGTCCCCGTTGGGAAAGGCGCGAACTCTCCACATGCTGAATGTAGACACCAGCAGTTGGTCCTGCACACCCAACGGCTCTCGGCCCACTGCGTGTATGCGGCTCTTCCTCACCATGTACAGAGCGGGGATTATCCCGGAGGCGTCAGTAAGCGCCCAGCTTCATAAAAGAGCTTCTTGAGGGCGGGTGCAGTAGGCACTTAACCCTTTGGAGTCTTCGGCTCGGTCAAGTGATCGCAATCTATGGTCTATGACATATATACGTCATAGACCATAGATCGCAATACTCCCCTCCCACTTCTCCCTTCTTCCCCTCGCTCCTCGACAAGCTTTTGCTTAGACATGGGTTGTAGTGAAGGGGGGGGTCTTTCTGGCGAGCAGGGCTAGACTCACCCTCAAGGGATGACCGAAACCTTCTTGCTGCTGCGCATATCCGCCGCGAGGCATGCGCGTGGTGGTGTAGTTGGGTCGGC